ATATAAGGTACTTTTTTAAATTTTACTTTCAGGTTCAATTAGCTAATTTAAATCGACCATTTTACATTGCAGAAAACGTTCATAATTCGATGAAAAAAAATCTTACAATAAAAAAATAAAAATTCCTTTTTAAATATGAAAATTCGCTCTTTAGAGTGGCACTAATGAAATTGAAAAATAAAATTTCGTTTGCCCACAAAAAAATGGTAAATACGGCAAAAAACACTGTTTTTGGCTCATATTACTTGATTTATCTCCATAATCTGACGTGATGGGTATCTTTCGCTGACGGATTTGGATTTAGCGACCTTGAATCTATTAAGAAATGTTGGCTCTAATTGCCGCCATTTTGTTTGTTGGACTGTGTTATTAATTAATCATTTCTGGTTTTATTGTCTTGAAGACAATTAAGAGGATCCTAAAGCCTCCTGTTTTACTGATTAAATCATATAATTTTTGTATAACACAAATACTTTTTTCCTGTCTCTCTCTTTCACCGATTCGAAAATCCTTTCCCAGGATTAAAATATACGTATTAATACGTGTCTGTGGGAAGTGGAGTCTAACCGAACGACCAAAAATTTCAAAATTGATATATTTTTTACCACTTCTTAGCTTAACATGGCGTCTCAGTTGTCAAGTTGTGACAACATTTGTTTGATACGAAAGCTTTGCAACCTGTACGAAATAGTGGTTCCCAAACACGTTAGTTTACACGAACAATGTCGAGTTCTTAGAATTAGACTTAGACGCTTTATCGCGACGAAATTGACACGAATGTGCGACTGCGTGTATCATAGGTTGCGTGAGATATTGATTTGATAGTTTATAAAGACACGGCGCGCGCGCGCGGCGTGACCTCTGGTGACTTCGTCGGAGTTCGAACTTCGTTTTAGGATTCTCTTAAATCATAATATTATAATAAAGTAACTAAAAATCTTCGTATACATCACATATGCTGTTTTTTGCAAACAAAAACTGGAGTTTCGGCACTAATAATACTTAATCTTCACATTATTACTCCAATTAACATGATACAAAAACTCTGCAAGAGAAAATGAAATGCAAAAACTTGCAATTATCATAAAATGATTTACAATAAGACTTTTCAGACGTTATTCGTTATTAGTTTTACAAGCCAAACTTATATTTGTTCAGATATAAGTTTATATTCTTAATCAGGAGTGACGTCATCACACATATGTATAATGGAATCGGCAGGATCCCGTTTGCCTACAAATCAATTGCCTACATCACTTTTACTGACAACTCGATTGCACACAAAAATTATTGCTTATAGCTTGATTGTCTACATGCATTTTTGCGCACAAATAAAAATTTCAGAAACAACGTTATGTTTGCCACATGTATTATTGCCTATATGTATTATTGCCTACATGAATTATTGCCTACAGCTCAATTGACTACAAGCACTTCTATACACAAATGAAAACTTTAGGGACAAAATCTAATTTTCTTATGTATTATTACCTACAGATTGATTGTCTGCATGTATTATTCTCTATTTTAAAAATACAAATTCTGTTTTGAAACAAATTCTTTGCTTTAAAACACAACTTCTCTGTTTTAAAAATACAAATTATTTTCTTACTTAACTTAATCTTAATTTTATATTTGTGCGCAAAAGTGCATGTAGGCAATCGAGCTATAGGCAATAATTTTTGTGAGCAAACGAACTGTTGCTAAAAGTAATGTATACCATAATGCTGCTATAGGCAATCGATTTATAGGTAAAACGAGCCATCTTATGGAATCATCTCTTTGCTGAGGAAATGTATTTGAAAATGTATCTGAAAATCAGTTCTGAGATTCAATGTTTTGTATCTGGCTACAAATACGAGGGCGAATCAAATATTAACCGGACTTTTCTTTTTAACGCTCCCTAGGTGAAGACTGCTTTCCTTTTAGGAGACACAAACCGACACAGTATAACACACTCAAACACAGTTTGCCACGCTTAAATGGAACGCGATATGTGCAGTGTGTGTATCGTGTGTACGAACTTTTAATACCTA